CCTAGGTCTTATGAGGTCAGTCTTGGAGACTGCGTCCCCCTCCTGTAGAGGCTAACGCTATCTCCAAGTAGATCCTGTCAGACTTTGATTGGGTTAGAAGAGACTCAGCTGGTACCTGCTGTAGAACTACTTACTTGCTTTGTTGCTAGGGAGAAAGCCCCACCCCTTTCAGGGTGACAGAAGTGGTCTGGTGGTCTGTATTATGAAAGTATAATAGAAGTGGAATTTGAGTTTATTTTTTCTAGCCTATAAATTATATACCAATTTAAAATTTTTATTTTGTTTTAAAAAAAGATGTATTTATTTTTATTTTATGTGTCAGTGCCTGCATGTATGTAAGTGCACCACGTGCAAATCTGATGACTGCAGAGGCCAGAAGTGAGTAGTAGATCCCTTGGATCTGGGATTACAGACCATTGTGAGTCAACATGTGGTTGCTGGGAACTGAACACGAGTCCTCTGCAAGAGCAGCAAGTGCTCTTAATCACTAAGGCATCTCTCCAGGCTGGAAAGACTGTATTCTAATAAAACTTTGGGATTCCTGCAATGAAGAGAAAAATCCCCAAAGGTATAAAGTGGAGAGGACATTCCCTTGAGGGCTGATGATGACTAAGTTATCACATGATTCTCACCCAGGCATCCATGTTGGGAGATGAAACTCGGTCTTTTTTCTTTTCTTGAGGCAAATGCTGTGCATTCAGGATAGCCTGGGATGCAGGATAATCCTGTCTCAGTCTCTGGAGTCATAGGAAGGAAAAAGTGACTAACCTCTTAAATATTTTGAGCTCACAAATTCTATATTAAGGTAATATATAATTGAAATATGAGGCTAAAGTCAAACTTGGCCATGCAAAAATTCAGAAAGTTTATCATCCAGAAATACTTTCTGCAAGAGATACTCAAAGATACATCAACAGAAGATCGGAGGAGGAGGAGGAGGAGGAGGAGGAGGAGGAGGAGGAGAAGGAGAAGGAAGGGGGGTGATACTAGTAGAAGTGGTCATCTGGGAATTCTAAGATGAAACAAACAAACCACAGAACAGGTAGTAAATAAGCCTTGGCAGCTGCCCTGCCTTACCCCAGACGGGCTCTTTTGAAGAGTCCATGCACATGGCAATCTAGTGTTTGCCAGCCAACAGTATCTGCAGGTTCAGGTTAAATGCTGTCATGGAACCTGCCCAGAAGAGAGTGGTGGTGTGTCTGGAGAAAAACTGGGCCAATGGGTGGACTCTGTAGCTCTCAAGCTGCCTTGGAGAGGAAGTGGGCAAATGAAACCTGTTCACACTTCTTGACACAAGCAGAAGGGACATTTACAGAGCCCAGGAAGACAGGGGTGGGGTGCAGAGCAGCTGAGAGCTCTGGGAAGTGCTAGCAAAAGCCCCAGGGGCTGTGTGCCAGCAGCTGCTGCTCAAAGAGCTCCATGAGCTCCTTCCAAAAGACTGAGTGCAGTGTGCAGGACCAGAGTGCACCTGCTGCCTCTCTCCTCACACACCACAGTGCCATGTGGGCCCCATCTCAGACACCTTCCGACTCTGTGTCCCCTGCAGGTGCCCCATCTGTACCTCAGCCCTCCCCTGCTTTCACATACACTCCCTGTGCCCTGTCCTTGCACTGAGCACCTTCAGCTGGTCCTTCTGCCCTGGGGCCTCGGTGGAGCCTCCAGTTAGCAGAAAGCAGTAAAACTTCTCTGGCCTCTGAAGGTCCTTATCCCTGCTGGCTGATAGGACCCTGGCAGAGGGCCATGACAGTTACATTCTGCCAGCCCATGTCTGCAGGGGGTATTGTTAGTTTGAGAGATGATTGTCCTGCTACAGAGCCGCTGGAGCCCCCTTGGCTCGTGCTCCCTCTGGTCCAGTGAGTCCAGTGAGTCACTAGCAGCTTCCAGCACTGCCTGAGATGAGGTCACTGGGCACACCCTTTCTGGGCTCCCTATCCTTGACTTCTACGGCTACAGGCTTTCAGTAGAGCCAGACCAAGAAATTCCTTTTGCCATTACTAAGCCAATCAGGATCGAGGCGAGAGTGCCAGGCTCCTTGGCTTCGAGTCAACAACTAAGCTGTGGCTGTCCTGGTACCCACTCTTCAAAGGTGCAGAGGGGACCAGAAGGGTAGCAGAGGCAGGATGACCTGCTTCATCCCATACACTGAAGGGGCCCCTCAAGGGGGTGCCCTGGAGAATGAGCTGGAGGACTCTGGGCTTTGGCTTGGCTGCAGCTGGTTCCCTCCCACACAAGCAGAAGTTCTCAGAGTCCCCTGACAAGTCTTCACTGTATGCTGCCAGGCTAACACTTCAATGACTCTTTGAAAAAATAGCCTGTAGTTAGTATGTATGCTTTATATAAAATTATTTTAGGTATATGAACAAACCATGATTATATTGTATTAGGGAACAGAAGTATACGCTCATAATCTTACCACACATTAATAGTCTCATATTATTTTGGCATATTTCTTTCTAAACTTTATTATTAACCTTTTTCCTATTCATACACTTTATAAGATTATCTTATATGACTTTTTAATGTGTAGTGTGTGTGTGTGTGTGTGTGTGTGTGTGTGTGTGTGTATGCCGTGGTGTACATGTGGATATCAGAAGACAACTTGTAGTTGGCTCTCTCCTACCGTGTGGGTTCCAGGGATTGAACTCACACCACCAGGCTTGATGGCAAGCATCTTTACCCCTTGAGCTGGCTCCTAGATAACCCATTTTAAAAGTGTACTGTTTTTTACTTGACTATATGTTGTAAATATCTTTCCTTGCCAAAAAAATCTATCTCCATTTTAGTTGCTGACCAGCATACTTCACATAGATGAATCAGGTAGATTTAACTCATCTCCCTTGTTAGGCTCTTGAGAGTGCCTTCTTTTCTTCTATTAGATATATGGGCTCTCTGCTTGCAGATAGTTTGGGTGCAGCTCCACTGTGTCACTGTTTCACTGTTGTGGTGTAATTCCTGGCATAAACAACTTAAGGATGAGAGGTTTACTTTACCTCGGGTTTCAGGCATTTCAGCCCTTGCCAACTAGCTCATTTGCTCGTAGACGACTGTGGAGGGAGAGCACAGCAAAGGGAGCTGCCTACCTCATGGCAACCAGAAGGCAAAGAACAGAGAAACCCAGGGCACAATTTACTCCTCAAGTGACCCACTTCCTTGGACTAAGCTTTTAAGACTCTACCAATGAGTTAATACAGTAATGAAGTTAATACAGTGATGATTCCAAGGACTTCCCCGGAGCTCATAGCTGAAAATCAAGCTTTTAACACATGAAGGCTCATTCTCTATCCAAACCATTATATTCCCTAAAGACCAGTTCATAGGAGTTACCAGGGCTGAAGGCACAAACCTGTAAAGATCTTTCTCATCTCTGAAGTACTATCCTTTCCTGTAGCAGCAGGTGAGCCAGTGGTCATCTGTGTCCCTTTCTCAGTGCTATATCTCATGATCTGCCATCTCTGCTAGTTCCTCCACAGCTTACCTTGGAGGCTCATGATGGACTTTCCCTGGGTCAGTTTAGCAGTGAGGTTGCCTGACAAGATAGTGTCTTGAGTCTCTAGGAACAAGCAGATCAGAGCCAGGAGACCACTGCAGACTCCAAAGGCAGCCTGGTTTCAGCAGCCTGTGAGCCAGGATCTGGCCTCACTCTGAAATTCTCTCAGAGAAAACTCATGGAAGAGTGTGGGTTGGGGTTTGGGCTTGATCTTCCAACACCTCAGACACAGACACAGGCACTGACTTGAGCACAGAGGAACACACACCCATACAGTCTTGGAACTGTGCTGTTTATTTTTCTTAACGTGACATAACCTCAGTCACCTGGGAAGAGAGAACCTCAATCAAGGAATCACCTGGATCAGGTTGGCTTGTGGGCCTGTCTGTGGGGCATTGCCTTGATTCCTGATTGGAAGAAGGACACAATGGGCAGTACCACTCCTAAGCAGGTGGTCCTGGGCTGTATAAGAAAGATAGCTAAGCATGGGCGAGAGTGAGAGCGAGACCGAGAGAGAATGAACTAGAGAGCAAGCACTTTGAGTGCTTGCTTAATTCCCGACTTTCTTTAATGATGGATTGTGACCTGGACATGTAAGCCAAATAAACCCTTTCCTCCCCAAACTGCTTTAAGTCAGAGTGTTATATCACAGCAACAGAATGAAATTAGAACATTCAGGTCCTGCCTTTCACTGTGAGGGGAAGACTTCTGCTCCTTCGTGAATACCTCTTTCAAGAGTGCTGATGCAAGTGAGCCATGTGATTTAGATCAGAGCAAGAGAGGACCCTGAGAGGAACCCTGTAATTCAGAGGGTCTCTCTTTAACCATCCCATAGACTGTCCTTAGACATGTCCACTCAGAATCCCAATCTTCCTTCTAGACCATGCTCTAGGACCCTGGGGCCCTGGAACTCCCTAAGTAAGTCCAAGGCCTACCTATATGGATCTCCTCCCAGGACCTTTGTTCCCCAGAGTGAGAGAGGATCTCACCACTGATGTGCATATGCCAAAGGGCAGCTGTGTAGGGAGGGGGATGGGAGGACTTTAATGGACAAGCTGAAGAGTCCTCTCTAGGTAACTAAGGGCTCTGAGGTAGGAAAGGAGGGAGGCCATACTGTAAACTCTGAATGGGGACCAGCTCTCCCTGTGTCATCACACTTCAACATAGAGCTGTCTCTGGACAATAAATGCAAGCCTGGCCTTCCAGCTCATTTTGAAGGTCTATCTTTGAAAGTAGGAGAATAAATATTACATTCTAATAGTTTGCTCATTTGATTTATAACCTTTAACTATCTGGACATGATAGAAAAGCCTCCATTTCTCTTCTTGTCCATGGCTCTGCAAATATTCAGAGGAGAGCTGAGAGAGGCTTGCAGGGTTTGAGCCAAAGTTTTGGTGCTGAGGGGAAATGAAAGTGGGTCTCTAAGCCAAGGCAACATGTGCCAAGTCCTGGCATGGCAAGGCTGCCAGAAGCCCTGCCAGAGTAGCTGAGAAAAATACCCCCATCTTTTCAGATCACTTTCAGGAGGGACCACCTTGAAGCCTGCCTCCTCTCCCTGGGTTGTGATGTGATGGCAAGAGAACGCAGCAACTTTGAGACTTATTCCATGTGTTATGAGCATGTGTTGCAACATGCCAGGCAGAAGCTCAGCCAGAAGGAGAAGGTAGGTGTCCAGAGAAATGAGAACTTTGAGGGAGAAGGGGTGTGGGCAAGGAGGTCCAGGAGTCACTCACCGGGGAGCAAAACTATGAGCAGTGAGGAGAGTAGTTCTTATGCCAGAACTAAAGGGAAATGGTGCTGTCCACATTTCTTTCCCTTGGGCTCCTTTTCGTGGGCCTTGGCTCTCAGTTGCAGAGGTGACAGCCCCAGCAACCCTGAGTTGTGGGCTTTAGAGAGGGATACTATGGGGGATAAGAGGTGTGACCAACAGATGGGGTGAGCCTTTTGGGAAAATGTGTAACTGTCTTTCCCTCCATCAGCAAACACAAGCCTCCTTGTGCTGTTCCTGATTCAGCAAAAAGCCAGGATCTTTGAGAAAATCTGTCTTCATACATATCATGGGCCAGTCTCGATGGTGAGACCTCCTTAAAATGAGGTCCCATCTATGATGTCCCAGAGTCAATCCTCCTGTCACTGTTCTGAAATAGATTGTATCCGAGGCTCTATGTAACTTCATTTTATACTCAAGAGCAAAATCTGAGTGTTCAAAAAAATCAAATGAAGCATTAATATATCAGACAGTGAATCTTGGACTTGCCCACTTTTTATGAATCCTCATAGCTGAGCTCTCTCCATCATTGTGAAAACCTGGAAGAGCATATTGTATTTGTGTATGAATGTCTTTACATGTGTGGTGGTATGTTTATATAAGCACATACATATGTGTGTGCATGTGGCATATGGAGATCAGAGGTCAACTCAGGGTAGGTATAATTTTTCAGGAGCCATCCACCTTGTTTTTTGAGACAGGGTCTCTTACCAGGAAGTGGAACTTGTTGGTTCACCTAGGCTGGCTAGCCAGTGAGCCCCAGGGATCTGCCTATTTCTATTTCCCCAGCATTGGAATTACAAGTGTGTGCCACCGTGCTGGCTTGCATGCTATCTTTTAATGTTATGTTAGAAATCTCAAATTTTATTTGGACATGGTGGAGCACCCTTGTAATCTCAGGACTCGGGAGGTGGAGGCAAGGGGACCAGAAGTTGAAGGTCATCTTCAGCTATATATTAAGTTCAAGGCTATCCTGGAATAAATTAGGCCCTATCTCAAAAAAAATTCTTTTTAAAAAGGAGAAAAGAAGTCCCAAAGTCTAACAGGGTTCTAGGCACAAGCCTAGCTCTTAATGTGGGGAGAGGATCTCAGAAAGAGGCTCCCTTAATAACCAATAGGAGAAGATGAACTTGCACTGAAATGAGTTCGAGTTGGGTTGAACACTGCCTTCTCCTCCTCAGGAAGTAGAGATGCTACGAAGAAGTCAAGTTCCTCCTGAAGACCTTGCTGGTCAGGTAGGTGGGTTACTATGCACCCTGAGTCTCCCAGAAGTATGTGTCACCTACAGCAGTCCAGTCCATTCGGGTCTACTTTGTGTAAGATTTTCTAAGGGACTTTTTTTTCCTGGAGTTTTTGGGTTGCCTTTGTTATTATGTATTGTTTGAGGAAGTTTTGTTGGTTTCGTTTTTTGTCAGAATTTCACGGTTATTGTTCTTTTCTTTTGATGCCAGTTAAGTACATTTTCAAAGATGAAGTGGTATGTGATTGAGGGATCAAGGGAAGGCCAGTGTGGAGATGAAGGCCAAAACAGGCGAAGCATTTCTCCAACCGGAAAGTGCTTAAGTAGCGATTCTTTAGGGCACGTATTGAGAATGTTTATGTGTCTGGCACTGCTGGGTCATTTGGAGATTCAGCTACTTCATTTACCAAGCGGCCTATTCACCTTCATTAGATTCAAAATGGAGGACCTGGAGAGATAGCTTAGCAGTTAAGAGCACTTCCTGCTCTTCCAGGTACCTGAGTTCTGTTCCTAACACCCATGTCAGGTGGTTCATGACTGCCTGTGACTGCAGCCCATGGTATCCCATGCCTTCTTCTGGCCTCCACAGGCACCCACACACATGTGGCATATACAGAGAGCTAAATATTAAATAAATAAATATATACATACATATACACAAATAAATAAACAATAAAATGGACAAACTGTGTTAATCTATATGAAACCATTGTGGTAGCAACTTCGATTTCTCATGTTTTTACCCATACATGTCACCTTACAAATTATGCATATTTCTGTGGCTAGGTTGCGGAGCTCAGTCATGCTCTGATCATGGAAACCACTGCTCTGAGAGCCCAGCTCACAGACTTGGAAGAGGAGAATCTGAATCTGAAAACACAGATTAGAAAAGAAGTTCAGGAAGAATATGAAACATTAGTCCAAGCTTTGTTTATGACCTGTTTACACATAAAGGTAAATGACCTGCGTCCGTGGTCTAGGCAGCCCTGTGGCCATATACCAAGGGATCAGTGACAGCATGAACTTGGAGGTACCAAGAGATTCTTAGACCCCAAAATTTCTAGCTGGAAGATTTTGTTTTGTTGTAACAATCTTGTTATGTAGTCCTACCTGACCTGGAACTTGCTATGTAGCCCATGCTGACCTCAAACTCATGACAATTCTCCTGCCTCAGTCTCTCTTGTGTCGGGATAGATGTAGAGTACTATGCCTGGCTATCTAGAGGTTCTTGCTACAGAGAAAATTAACAGTAGAGTGTTGCTATTTTATTTATATTTATGTGTGTGTGTGAGTGTGTGTGTGTGTGTGTGTGTGTGTGTGTGTGTAGACACATATATGCCACAGTGTACATGTAGAACTAACTTTTCAGAGTTAGTTCTTCTATCATGTGGATTCTGGGAACTGAACTCAGGTCCTTAAAATTGGTGGCAAGGACCCTTCCCTGCTGAGCCCTGTCACAGGCCTCAGTTGCCATTGTTCTCTCATGATAGAGACTGAGCTTTAGATAACTGAGCTGTTTATTTTTTCACACTTTGCTGCTACTTGCCACTGTGGCCATCTGGTTGCTGTTGGAAAGAGGAGGGGTCCTTAAGCCCCTACCAGTGTCTACCACTGTTATTTCAGTTAAGTGTAGTACCCAAATGGGTGATCAGAGTGCCCCAGACCTGCCAGACTCCAGTGGAGGGGGCAGCAGCTTGAGAGCTTGCTGCGCAGATTCAGAATTTGAACCCGTTTCACAGGTTTGTCTAACCCTCAATATGCCCTCCAGTCTTTCTCTCACATTTAGAATATCAGAGAACTGCTGACTTTGATATCAAGAGACACCCCAGAAAAGGCATGATGGGGTGCCCCTGTGCAGCTAGTTGGGAGACATGTCATGCCTAAGATGAGTCATCAGAGAGCCTGGTCTCCCTGGTCTATGGATTTTAGTACATCCTACAGTGACCCCAAAGCCCATAGCTTTTTCTTCCTCACACTTTCTTCCCTGCTACTGGATGTATTTCAGAGACAGCCCCATTTGGACCCTTACCTCTCATCCCTCCCTGGGGGTTCCAGAATAGTCCCTAGGGTTGTTTCATTAACAGGAGATCCCACTGATGCTCTGCCTTTGTCTAAGCATGAGAGTATTAAGAGATTACTTCCTATTTGCAAAATACAAGTGATTACAAATATCAAGAATTCAAATTCAAAATGTCCTGGGCCTAGTGCTACAGGATAATGGGTAGTCGATGAAGCCTGGAATTTGCTGAGCAGTCTTGCAGGCATTTCTAGATAAAAAGTGGACTCTCAACTTCTCCCAGATCAAGATAGTTCTGCCAAATCTCCCAAAGCAAGGAATCCCTGTCCTAGTCCATGGTCCCAAAGAGATGGTGATGTTCCTCTTGGTAGCCAGCAGTCAGACTTTCTGACATGATTCTCAACTAGGCACTGTCTTCCTGCCTTCCACTGTGGGGAAGTGGTTCATTGATGAGAGGATGCCCCTATGCCCACTTCTCACCCCTGGGACTCTGGGTGTCAGTCTGCTTGGGTTGCTTGGCATAATAAAACAACATGAACTGGGTGGCTTAAATCCAAAGCTTATTTTCTCACAGTTCTAGAAGCTGTAGTCAGAGCTCAAGGTAGGAACATGGTTTGTTCTAGGGAGCGTCCCCTTTCTGGTTGGCCAGAAGCTGCTTTCTCCCTGTGTCTCCACATGGGGCGGCCGTGGCGGGGGGGAGAGAGAGGGGAGAGAGAGAGAGAGAGAGAGAGAGAGAGAGAGAGAGAGAGAGAGAGAGAGAGAGAAATATGGTCCTCTCTTCTCTTATAGGGAGACAGTCTTCCTGGCACAGGGACCCACTCTAATGACCTTATTTTAACCTTGATTACCTTCTAAAGCTATTACATCACCAGGTGATGTCACAGTGAAGGTTGGGGTTTCAGTATGTGAATGTGAGAGGAGACACAATTCAGTTCACAGCACTGAGTCTGCAGTTAAACATATTAATCATGCCTTTCATTGTTAGCCATTAGCCATAGTCATTCAGAACACAGTGTTTCATGCTGAGGTTTCCACCGATCCTAACAGGAAGTCAGCCAGCTGCCACCTTCCTTCACTTATTCGTATTTAATGGAAACTCTCAGTAGTGGCTCATCTATAAGGAGAGACTGGTTAGGTTTTGTTGTGAGGCAACCTGGCAGCCAAAAGCCTCAGTCCACCTTTCCCAACTAACCCGATTCTACCAGGGTATTTTCTTCCTGTGACCTCCCATTGTTCCAGCCACTGTCCTTCTGACTCAGCTTGCCTTGGTGTTGACAGGCAAAGGACATTCTAGGTCATTCAGGTAGCCAAATATCAAAGCCCTATAGATTAAGGAAAACACCTTAAGGGGCCCTTGATGTGCCTTCCATGTAACGTGGGAAAAATTGTCTAGGTGTTGCATTTTAATGAGCATCCACTTCCACAAGTTAGGATTTAGAACACAAAATAACTTCCCCCACAGCCCTTCACACTACCCAAACCCACTGCACTTCCTTGACCCGAGTCTGCATTTCACAGGAGAAGCTGGATGAGAATCAGCTTAATTTGATCCAGAAAGTGTGTGAGCTCATCGGTGAAGTGAGAGCCGAAGGGATAGCCAACTTGAAGGAGCTAAAGAAAACCTGGGGCTCTGCCAGACCAGATGAAGGAACAAAAGAGAGCCTGGCTAAAGTATGTGATCCCAGGCCGCAGTCGGAATATCAGCATTTCTTCCTAGGATCGGGTCCACCACTGACCCTGTTAACATTCCAAGCAGTCCCCCAAAGCACTGCAGCAGGGATTTTAAAGAGGCCCCAAGGTGGGGCTGCAAACATTCATATTCCCTTCTGAAGGCATGTTTCTGGTGTTAGGATAGTCCTTAGGAGTGAGGAGGGCTGGAGGCAGTTTTTCTAAAAGAGCTCTCTTGGCAGGAGCAGCAGTGGGGCTCGGAGCAGGACCACAGCAGCACCCTGGCTGCCCTAGTGTGCAAAGCACGGAGCCTAGGCCGCTGGCGGCTGGCTGTGCAGCAGGCCCGCTTCCGAGGCCAGCTGAGCAGGGCAGAGAAGGTGAGTTGGGGAGGGAGGCCCAACAGTCCCCTGGGGATGCTCCAGGTCAGGCTGACTTGCAGCTGCCACACTGGTGGCAGGTGGCAGGCCCAGCAATGCTGAGGAATCTGACAGTTGGCCACCTTTTTCTGGGACTGGGTGGGCAACATCAGAGCCTTAGGAGAAATAGAAAACTGACACGATGGGACAGGGAGAACAGATAAGAGAATGGAGCACAAGGGAAGAGAAGAGTCAAGATATCCTTTAAGAGCCTGGGGCTTCATGCATGATAATCTGAGGAAAACGAAGTAACAAAGAGATAAGAGGAAAGGCTACTTTAAAACACATTGAAACCGAAGCAGGTATTGATAGTGGTGTGGAAACTTCGTCCTGAGAATCCAGGTTTACTCTGGATTCTCTGTCAAGCTATCCTTAATTAAAATCACTCGAGTAAAGACCAGCAAGAGCTCCATTGTATAGGAAGTTTTAAAGGACGGACCTTCGCTACGACTTAAGACTAAAAGCATGGAAAGGAAATTTCCTATCTCACTGTCTTTGGAATGTTTTCAGGAATCTATTCAAAGTAAAAAAGAGTGCCTGGGAATCAAACTAATGGCAGAGCAAGAAGTGGGTCTACTTCGCCAACAGTTGCTGGCTGTGAGGCAGGCACTGACCAGGGCTCAGACTGACAACATGCGGCTGTGGAAGCAGCAGAACACACAGGTACTGGAGGCTCAGAACTTCCTCCTGACTCCCTCAGCTCATCAGTCTTGAGTGTGGCCACAAGCAGGGGTACTGTGGCTACTGGGAGCAACCACCAGAGGTCCACAGTATGAAGGAAGAGCACAGCTAGGAAAAGATGGCCCAAGAACAATGGTCCAGTGGCTACAGTCCTTATTCATATTTGGTTATGATGATTAAAAAATGTTCCTCATGTGTTAGTTACTTTACCTGTTGTAAGAACAAAATAACTGACAAAAGCAAGTTAAGGAAGGAAGGGTTTATTTTGGTTAAGGGTTTGAAAGTCCATCATGGAGGAAAGTCATGGCAGAAGGATTTGAGGATGATCACATTGCATCCACCGTCAGGAAGCAGAATGAGATGAGCGCTGATTCTCAGCTTGCTTTCTCCTTTTTATTCAGTCCAGAACCCTAGCCCATGGTATGGTGCTGCCCGCGTTCAGGATCATCGCGAGTGTGTACATATGTGTTTCTCCACTGGGGTCTTGAGATCTAAATCTCTGCCTTGAACACAGGCCCTTTGTGGTCCAAGCAATCTCTGTCCCAAGAGTGTGGTCAGGCCTTCTAAATTAACCCCAACCTGAGAGTCCCTGGTCCTTTCCTGATGATTCACACTGTTTTACTTTTGGAAATGACTGCTATTCACCAAAATAAAGGGACTTTAAGTCTAAGCTTCGTTACGACTGTGTCAACCCTTAGAGCACGAATGAGGCAGAATAAAAAGAAGTAGAATCATCTATTTTATAAAAATACAATGAAATATCACTGAACCCATAAGAAGTTCTGAGCCCCATTTATCCAAGGGTCTGAGCCAGAACATCTGGGTTTAGATAGTAGTCTGGGAAAGCTAGTTTTCTAGTTTGCCTTTGATTGCTGTGACAAAAACACTTTGACCAATACCAACTTGGGGAGGAAAGGGTTTATTTGGCTTACATCTACCACTTCGCAGTTCATCAGGGAGCCCAAGGTAGGAACTCAGGCAGGAACCTGGAGGCAGGAGCTGGAGCACAGGCCATGGAGGAATGCTGCTTACTGGCTTGCTCCCCTGGCCCCTGCTCAGCCTGCTTTGTTATACAACCTGCCCAGGGGTGGCACCACCTACAGTGGACGGGGCCCTCCCACATCACTCAACAATCAAGAAGATGCCCCATGGACATAGCCACAGGCCAGTCCAATGCAGGAAAGTCCCCAAGTGAGGTTCCTTCTACCCAGGTGTGTCAAGTTGACAGCCAAAGCTAGCCAGCACAACTGGGCATATTTAAAGCATGAAATATAATTTATGCATTTTGGACCCTAATTCCTTTAAGAGCATCAGACCAATTAGTTGTATAAAAGTCTTGGTAAACTATGGGCTGGAGCAATAGCTCCGCAGTTAAGAACACTGACTGTTCTTAAGAAGACCCAGATTTGAATCCCAGTACCCACATGGCAGTTAATTGTCCATAACTCCAGTTCCAGGGGATTTGATGGCCTTTTCTGTCCTCCATGGGCATTGCACGACATGGGTGCACTTACATATATGCAGGCAATACACGCGTACTCATAAAATAAAAATGAGTTTTAAAAGTCTTGGTAAACTATGAAGTTAATACTGTAACTGGAAATTAACTAATGCTTAAAATACTGATTTGAAAAACATTGGAACATACATTCCAAATTATCACTATGGTTTTCTTCTTCCCTCTCCTCCTCTTCTTCCATTTTTATTTTATATATATATTTTTTTCAGACAGGGTCTCATTTCGTAATTCAGATTGGCAATCCTCCTGCTTCAGCCTCTCAAATGCCAGCATTAAGAGGCATGAGTCACCAGGCTCAACTCCATTTTGCCTTCTTTAACTATCCAGAATCTGGCTTCTCCAAAACTATTTTTTAAAATGTTTATTTATTTTATGTGTATGAGTGTTTGCCTGCATGTATGTATATGCACATGTAAGCCTAGTACCTGTGGAGGCCAGAAGAGGTCATCAGATCCCCTGAAACTGGAGTTACCAATGATTGTGAGCCACCATGTGGGTACTGGGAACCAAACCCAGGTCCTTTGTAAGAACAGTCGGTTCTGGGGTCTGGAGAGATGGCTCAGCGGTTAAGAGTACTGACTGCTCTTGCAGAGGACCCAGGTTCCATTCACAGCACCCACATGGCAGCTACGAACCATCCTTAACTCCAGTTCCAGGGGAATCTGAAGCCCTCTTCTGACCTCCACGGCATTGCACGACACGGGTACACTCACATACATGCAGGCAATATACTCATACACATAAAATAAAAATAATAAAGAAAAAAATATATATAAAAGAACAGTCAGTTCTTTTAACTGATGAGAGTGAAAACAGAGTCCAAATCAGAAGCACCCTTCTCTGATAATGTTTTTATGAGTCGTCCCTGTCTCCTCAGGGTTAAACCTTCCACTGCTGATCCACATGAGAGGCTCCATGGTAGTACAAATGTAGTTTGTGATCAGGGTGATGAACAGTTAATTCCCATGCATATTATCATCAAATGTTTGGTATTGAGAAACTCAGTTACTTGACAGGATTCTGCTCTGTGGGGGTATTATCACTTGCCTGGCTTTTGTTGTTTGTTGTTATTGTTGTACATTCTGTTCCCTCTGATTGCTGCTTCAGGGCTCACGGTGTAAGTGCCAGGCCAGGAAGTGCCAGGTCAGGTAAGATCCTGGAGGTCTTTGCTGCTGACCAGCACAGGGCCAAGTAGTCAGGCAGTGCTACCCAGAGCCTGGGAATAGTGCAGGTAGCCCTGCTCTGGGCCCCAGTGGAAGGGACGGTACGTCATCCAGCCTCTGCTGCCTGATGCTGAGGAAAGGCTTGTTGCTTGCTTGCTTGCTTCCCTTCTTGACCTTTCCCTGCTATAGGCTCAACTGCTGAGGGAGTTGGAACACAGAGTGACCCAAGACTCTGTCACTTGGCAACAGCTGGATATACTAAAAACATCCAGCATGGAGAAGCTCCTGGAAGATGTGGGACAAAAAGAACAACAGCTGCAGCTTCTAACTGAAGAGGCTGAGCGGGCTTCCAAACTGAGCCAGCTACAGCGGAAGAAGATGGACCGAGAACTCCAGCAGGTGAGGCCGGCTGAATGCAGCACTGGGGCCTGGGAGCCTGCAGAGCCAGCACACAGGCCATCCTCCACACCTCTCTCCTGCCCTCACAGCCTGCTTGCTTGCTGTCATTTCTCAGCATATCAGGAAATGGTCCTATATGCATCACCCCGGGTAAATGCTCACGCTTGATGGTCCTCGGCTGAGAATCCTGATACCCTGTGACACCCCTGAAAAACATGTTTCCTCGCAGCTCTAGCTTTTGAAATGGGATCCTCCAAAAGATTCCAAGCAATAATCTGGAAAAGGCTGTAGCAATAAGAGGTTATTATTAAGTGTTTTTAGAAATGCAGAGACAAATATGAAAAGCAAAAGTGGTTTACAGACAAAATTATATTACCACATCCCATAGGGGGAAAAAGGATTATCATAATGTAGGTATGAATTAATTCAAGCCTCAATAAAGTAGACCACAGAATATAATTCAATAAAACGATACACAGAAGGTGATTAGTAAGAGACAGAAAATTATTTTGAAAATTAAATTGAACTATTGGTCAAGGGTTTCAAGGGCTCCAGGAAAAGAGGGGAGGAGAGTTATAATGAATTGAGGGAATGCTAAATAAAATACTTTCAAATGAATGGAAAGCGGAAATGAGTTAGTTGCTTTAGAATAAAAGAAAATTAGAATTTCTCATTTATGAGCTGGGCACGGTGGCTCATGTCTGTAATTCCCATAGTCAAGAGATTGAAGCAGGAGGGCTGCCATGAGTTTGAGGTTAATCTGAGCTACACAGAGAGAACCAGGCCAGCCTGAGGGACACGGCAAAACTCTCCAAAAAAATTGCATCATTTATTTTGTGAATTTTTGTATTAAATGTGTAAAAATATGACTGAACCTTTAAGAAAAAGTTGGCATTCTATATTTGTCCTATAAAGTATCCTTTCTAAGAACCACCACAAAAATATGTTCATAGAATGGGTTAAAGTTCTGTTTAGTTAATGTTTCTACATTGTTTCTGACCCATGTCTCCCCAGTCCTTAAGATCTCTGTCAAAAGAACTGAGAATGACAGAGTAGAGTATAGGCAGTAAGGAGAGTTCATTGACAGCAAGTAGAACGCATTCTCCAGGGGTGAGGCAGACAGTGGCCAAACAGACTGCTGCCCTGATCAACAGGCTGTATGAGGCAGGCTGTATAGGATTTTCTATAATCTATAGAACAGATCACCACCACCAAAAAAACCTTCTTTAGGGGCCTTTGTCCTCTTCAAGTGATGGACAGGTCTCTTAGAACTGACTCTTGCTCACTCTTACAGGGGAGCTCAGAGATACTTATGTTAATGACATGTTTTGTTTTTACCAGACAATCTCCTGCTATACAATAATCTTATGAGGTGTAGGATTCCACGGAGCTTAGTTCATGAGAGTTATTTATTAATAACCTTAAAGGTTATCCGAGAGGTCACATCAGTCCAGGAAGTCACTTTTCCTTCCAAAGCTAGAAAAATGATTCAGGTACTAACACAATAATGATCATTAATTGAAAGCCTGCTGTCTCAGCCCTTTGCATCACCAGTTGCTGACTATGAAGGAGGGGTTTAATACCCACGTTCTCCAACATGCTCATATCTGACTAGCTACCTGTATTGTTTTTTCTCATGGCAGTGACAAAATACCTGAGAAATGCAACTTAAGGGAGGAAGGGTTTATTTTGGCTCACAGTTTTAGGGGACACAGCCCATCATGGTGGCAAATGCATGAGAGGAAACCAGATGAAAGTTTCTGGTCACATTGTATCTGCAGTCAGTAAACAGAGAGTGGGTGGGAAATAGAGCCAGACTATAAAATCTCAAAGCCTGACCCTAATGTCCCACTTCCTCCACTGGATTTGACTCCAGCACCACATAAACTGGGCACACTCAAGAGGTGGAAGCAGGGGAATCAGGAGTTTGAGCCAACCTGGGCTATCTGAGACCCATCTCAATAAATAAACAAAAAAGTGTGTGTGTGTGTGTGTGTGTGTGTATGTGTGTGTGTGTGAGAGAGAGAGAGAGAGAGAGAGAGAGAGAGAGAGAGAACTATAAACTGAATGACTAGCAGCAATGAACATTTATTTTACTACACTTAAGTCTGAAAATGAGGTTTTGGCCAGATTGGTTCCTTTCAGAGGTGTAAGGAAGAACCTGGCCCATGCCCCCCACTTAGCTCCTGGTGACAGCTAGTAGTCCCCAGCCTTCCTCGGTTTGGAGTCCCAGCCTTCCAATTTCCGCTCGGCATTCAGTGGCCTGTTCATCAGGTGCTTCTTTCCGTGTCTACGCCCTTATCCTCTCTTCTTCTAAAGGCAGTAGTCATTGGGTTTGGGGCCCACAAGATCCAATATGACCTCATCTAACTTAATTACATCTACAAAGACCCCATCCATGTCAAAGCCACATCCTGATGTGCCAGTAGGGACAGTGTTCTACCCCCTCCCCTTTCCCCTGTCCTTCCCCTCCTCCTCCTTCTTTGTAATAGAAAAACAATTAGAAGATCAATTTAAAAAGAGAAACATCTGTAATTTATGCAGATGAAGAACATTTGGGGTCCTTCTCCTGCCTGGCTTGGGGCTGATGGGTCAGCAAGCAAGGAGAGAGCCAGCCAGGGAAATGCCAAGGCTGTCGGGAGTTGGGTCTTCTCTCAGACCTGGGAGATGTGTTCAGGTCATTTCCAGCTGTAATAGAGTTCTGAGAGTTGAGAGAGAGAGAGAGAGAGAGAGAGAGAGAGAGAGAGAGAGAGAGAGAGAGAGAAAGAGAGAGATGAACTTTCCAGGGACTCCTTCTGTGGGTCTTTTATGTAGATGCCGTGAACTGGGCTCTAAATTCCCTCTACCCATTTAGTGAAAAAGGTTAAGAGCAGTAGGTAAAGGTGCTTGCCACCAAGCTTGATGACCTGAGTCTGATTCATAGTATCCACATGGATAGAGGAAAAGAACCAGCTCCTATAAGTTATCCTCTGATCTCCACACATGCACCATGGCATATACATGCCCAGACAGACACAGATACACACAGATACAGACACAGATGCAGACACACACACATACACACACACGTGCACACACACGTGCACACACACACATGCACACACACAAATAAATAATAAATAAATAAATGAATACAAAAATAAATAAATATTTAGTAAAAGAAAAAGGAAATACAAAGTTGTAAATGAGCTCCTAGTGATTATAAACAAAGAGAGATTCCAAGGATGGACTTTGGTTCTTTAGTCAAGTGCTCAGCCTTCCTAAAGCTGTTCATTCTCAGCAGGACAAGCTTTGGCCTGAGCTCAGCCCTCCCAGGTCTCTGAAGACTGGCTGCTCATTGTGGAGTAGCTTGGGACCTGCACTCTCCCTTGGAAGTCCCCTGGGAACCAAGGGAATGACAGTGAGCACCATGAAGCTTCCCAAATCTCTCCCCTCAGATGAGAGGCCGGCTTGTCCAGGAGCGTAGTGTGAAGCTGGATGCTTTCCAGCGTGTACAAGAGCTGCAGAGTCGGCTTCATGACACTGAGCAGCTGACGATCCAGATGAGCTCCACAGATGGTAAGGACACCTTCCTCTGGCTAGAAGAATTGCCCAGTCTTGGGGGCATAAGCTGAAGGGGGCAGGGGGCTCCATGACTATCAGTGTCAACCCAGGAACATAACATGTGGACTGAATGAATGGCGTGTGGATATAAACAAACTCAATTCTGATTTGTACTCATATTTAATATCAGTTCACCTTTGGGTACTAGCATCACACTAAAAGGTGCCAGTCAGTCACAGGAGTTAGAGAAGCATAAAACACGACCTAAATAACATCAAGTGCTGCATTGCTTTTTAAAAATTAAATAATTAACTAATTTTTATTAAATAATTTTATTTGTATATGAATGTTTTGCCTGCATGTATATAAGTGCACCACATTCGCATGATGTCCATGAAGGCCAGAAGAGGGTGTCAGATTCCCTGGAACTGGAGTTGTGGATGGTTGTTAACTACCATGTGGGTGCTGGGAACTGAACCCAGGTCCTCTGCAAGAGCAGCCCGTGCTCTTAATCACTGAGCCATCTCTCCAACTCTTACAATGCTTTTTGAAGCACCCTAATGACCTGGGGCACCAATGACTACATTTTTATGAGGTTACTCATAAAGCACATTATGACTGTTGGCTGTTTTCAAGGAGTCCTGTGATAATATCAGAATAGTCCTCTAGTAGTGCAGACACTGGGCAGTATGAACATCAGACCCCAGGACTCCTAAATTGGCTTCCTTCTCTATGAGTACTAGATAAATTCTAGATTGGTCAGAAACATTACCAAATGTTGGTAACCATGATTGGGTCATTGTTAAGATCAGGTAATCTTTTCCTTTCTGATCTGAGGCCCAGACTGGTGGAGTCTTTGGGCTTTGAAGGGAGATGGCCAGAATCCTGTTACTATTCGGTGTGTGACCTCAGCCAGGTTGATTGTAGGGTGTAAAATGAGAATGCTTACCTCAAAGAATTTTTCTGAGGATTTGATGGAATAACACATATCTGACACTTAGAATAAAGACAATAATTGTATAGCCGGTTACTATAGATTCATACATGTGTTTAGTTCTTTATCTGTGTTCCTTTTGGCTACTTACCAACATGAACAAGCTGAGAAAGAAAACACAGCCTTTAAGAAGCAGACAAAGTGATTTAGGGCTTACTAAGAACATAGCTTGTCCATCTCTGCCTCTGCGCTTTCCTGGCTTCTGCAGCAGACTTTGGCATCTCCTGCCCCAGTCATTTTTTAATTATTTATTTAATAACCACATAATTAGAAGAAGCATTTCATTACAACAGCATTGACATAGTCAATAACAATTTCCAGCGCTAAGATGCATCTCTTTCAAAATTGGCTGTAATTTTTAGGTTTACAGTTGAATTGATATAGTTATTCAATATTGTACTCTGTATAAGCCCTATAAGACATAAAATTAAATGAGGTTTTAAACATTAAAAAAGATCTCCATTTCACTATTAAACCAGTTTCATACAGAAAAATTCATTTTCAATACAACTGACACTAAGATGTTTGCACATGTGTTTTTAATCTCTGTATATCTGATTATTACTAGTGACAGTTGGTTACTTTCTGAGCTCCTTGGCATCTGAGCATGGATATAAAGTTATCAGGTAGATTTCAATGG